TTTTGTAACCCACCACCACCGCCACCGCCACCGCCATCTCCTTCGTCGTCGACTGTCAGAGTACCATTATTAATACTGTTATTCTCTTCAAGCAACATAAAACATGGACGACCTGAACCTTCTTTTCTATATCTGAGTTTTCATCACTATTCTTCACGCTCCTCAAGCTCCCTTCTCTCTCATCTTCCATTTTCTTCATCTTCAATTCTAACGACCTGAACAATAGAGTTAAGGTAGGGTCAAAGCTCCGCTTCTGGAGTTCAGAGGCAATAGAGTCCCAGCGGAGTTCAGATTTTTTCTGAATCATCACAAAATATTTTCAAAAATTAAAAATTGAATATTACATTCCACCCAGCCCTAATAGTCAAGCAAGCAGCGACGACGCTGCAAGCAGCGACGAAGCCGGCATTGCTCCTCTGTTCATCAACGCGGAAAATGGTGTTTGCACAGTCGTCGTCGGGGCATTAGGGTGGTGGGTCTGCAGCAAAGTCACCTGCTTGTGGCCAAATCATTGCGGTTGTGGTTGAGACGACTCGATCCCGACGGCGCTGCTCCACGTTAGTTGTCGGTGGAAAATGGGGAGAGAATGAAGATGATGGATGGAGAGAGAGAGAGAGATAGAGATAGAGAAGATACAGAGAAGAGATGAAATCAGTATGGGATAAAGCGGGGGGGGGGGAGGGTTGGGGGTGGGTTGATGAATATGTAGATTTAAATTTTTAATAATTATAATTAATAATTTTATTTACCACCTGAAATCTGAATTTTAAACTTAATCTCCTTATTTATGAAAACTGATCTTTAATTGCAGGGTTTTAGGTAATTTCCCCTTTTTGTATTGCCACATATACAAGAAATGATATAACTTATTAGTGTTCCAGAAGCATCAATGTGTAAGGAGGTGGATGGTATTGGCGGTACCTATTTTTGGGGGTGGGGTGGAAGATGAAGAAGATGATGATGATGATGATGATGAATAGTACTTTTGTTTTATTTTTTATTTAACTTTTGGTTTTTTTTTTTTATTGGGGACCCCAACTGCAATTCTCTCTAAATAAAAACTAAATGTTATAAGACAAAAATACCCTTCAATTTGAAAAAAAAATAAATTACTCCACATGTTCACTAAACGGTGGATTTGGATGAAAATGGATGGAAGGATGTTTTACACAATCAAATGTGTAATTAAGGATGAAAATGTCAAAAAATAAAAGAAATTGACATTTTTCACAAATAGCTAACTAATAATAATTTTTCTCCAATTAATTACTAATTCGGTTATAAATAACTAAGAATCATTTATATTGTTTGCTAACTCTATTCACTAAATTGTATAATTTGTGTGATATTTAGAATGAGTTTAATTGGTATGAGAAATATTTCTTAAAAACGAAAATGTTTTCCTTGTTTTAAAGAAAATAAAAACCTACTCCCCCTAATGCAAATGTTTTCCTTAAAAAAAGGAAAATTAGGCATATTTTCAAAAGTTTGAAAATATTTTCAATGGAAAAAAATAACAATCAAACACTTTAAAGTAGGAATTTAGGTGAAAACCGACTTTTCCATGAGAAATAAATGCAATCAAATACACCCTTAAATTCAACTTCAAATTTCTAAAATGAAAAGTTCTCTTCAAATACTTGAACCCACTTGAATCACATATAACCAAATCAAAGTTAGTTCAACAAACAATTACTATTTTGATCATTTTAAATAAACTTCAATTAAACGTGGATACAAATTGCACTCAAACCTGCTCAAGTTCGATCTAAATAGTCTCATATTAATGAATTGAAATAATCTTATTTAGCAATGTCAATCGGCTCGGCCCATCACCACAGTCTCAATTCGATGCACTAGAGAGCTGGACCATCTAGTGCTCTTCGAGTTTTTAAGTTTTTTTTTATTATCAATTATCAAATACAATTTCTTTTCAAGTTTTCTTCTATTTATAGAAGAAAAAATCAATCATAAGAGTTTGCGTGAAGTCCATGAGCTCATGACCTGGTCGGACTTGTGTTTCTAGGGCCTGAGGCGAATTTCAGAATTTGAGCTCCTAAGTTATTAACAAGCAATCCATTTTTTTTCATTTATAAGAGTTTTACGGAACTAAATTTGTTAATTTAAAATCAACAATAAAGCAACAAATAAAAATGAAACATTCAAAATAATTATATTACAAAACCTCAAAAGAAAATGAAAAGATTCCAGAATATGATTTTCTCAGTCTGAAAAAGGAATTTAACATTTAAGAACAGAAAAAAATCTCTTAGTTTAATAATCAAACAAAAGGAGAAACCTTTTTCAAAACCCTGAATAAGTAATCAAGAAATCTAATTTAGAGAGAAAAAAACTAGTAATTGCCAATCTTAAACATGCATTATACTAATTTCATTGAAATATAAAAAAAAAAATGAAAGATATAAACTTTACCATTTCTATTAATATCCATCCAGACAGGGGCGGACCCAGCACCTGGTCAGCCCCTGCGGCCGCCCGTGCTGGGTTCGCCGGGACCTTGAAGTCCGCCGGGAAAGAAGGCAGCATCCGGCAATGGATGATCAGAAATTTTTTTTTTCTTTGTGAACCACCATGCCACTGGTTGCTTTATCTTGCTCTTGGGCCTTTCTTTTATAAGGCCCAATGGCCAATTTGCAACCCATTACTACAAGTCTACAAACAAAACCAAATCCAAATCAAAATCCCCAAATAATCAAATTCCCAATTCATTGAAAGTTGAAACCCAAACCGACGAAATCGTAGAGGAGCTGAGGACGGAGGCGATTCGACGAAGCTTACATGTTTGTGGCCGCTCCAGGTTCCAGTTCTAGCACCAGTAGCTTCGAGTTCAAGCTCCAAAGTCCAAGCTCGGAGTTCCAAACTTCCAATTCCAGCAGCTTAAATCGCAGGCAGCCTTCGCCAATGACTGTAAGTTCTCTGCTCTTCTCTCAATCTCATTTTTTTTTTTGGTTCCTTTAGTTAATTAGTTAATTTGTTTAATTTATTATTTATATTTTATAAATTATGTTTATATAATATGAATGTGTAGTTTGTGATTTGTGAATTGAGCTTGTTTCCTGCAGCCCGTAGGCTGTACCCGTAGGCTGTATTTTAACATGATTTTAAATGTTATGAATTTGAAAATTGGGGATTTTGTGAATTTGAGAATTTAATAATATTGGGGATTTTGAAACTTGAGAATTTTGGGAATTTAGGTTTTTAGGAAATTAGGGATAAGTGAAAAAAATTAATGAAAAATATGTTTGGCTCAATTAAACTATGTGTAGACTATGTTTTAATCAATTTTAATTAAAAAATAAATTGGGACATTTTGCAGATTATGGAGCGATTTTTTCAAACCGAAACGAAAGTCCATACCTGATTCTTCTTTCTCTAGTTGTGCATCTAGTCCCGCCACTGATTCTAGTCGAGCACAAGAGTTATTTTATAAATTATATTTATATAATATGAATACAGTTGTTTAAGATCACAGTTACAGATTAGGTTGTATTGTATATTTCTTTAGTACTTTTGATTATATATATATATATATATA